AAAGAAAATAAAAAAGAATCTTTATTTTGTTGTGTATAATTATATATATCTGTATTTCGTTGTGTATAATTGTATATAGTTGGTATTTTTTTTCCCGTATGAACTAATGTCGCCATTGCTAAAGACACTTTCCTTGTTATTGAATGTCGCCTTTGTAAAAAACACTCTCCTTGCTTTGAATTTGAGCAAGTCCGTAATGGTATACTTGGTGATGGAAATGTTCCAAACACCAAAGAAATGTTCAAAAGACTTCTTCAAGTCTCTTCTATTTATAAAGAAAATACACCATCCTCAACCATTGTTGATCACTCTGCTCTTACTACTCAAAGCTATCATAGAGGAAGAGGTCGTGGAAGTAACCGAGGGGGCCGAGGTGGAGGACGTAATTCCTCTCGTTTTTGTGACTTTTGCAACAAACCAGGGCACACCCGTGAGGTTTGTTGGAAACTCCTTGGGAAACCAACTATGGTTAATATAGCTCAATCTGGGAATCCAAATACTGCAGACTCAAGCACACAAGTTATCTCAAAAGGTGAGTATGCAGAATTCTTGCAATTAAAGGGTGCCAAAACAACCATTTCTCCCGATATCTCTCACACTGACCTTGCTTCACAATCAAACTCAGTTTGGGTCCTCGACTCTGGAGCCACCTATCACATATCTGGTAACCCTTCTCTTTTCTCCCAAATTGAGTTCTCGGATTCTCTTCCATATGTTACTTTTGGTGATGGATCAAAAGGAAAAGCTAAGGGGATTGGGAAAGTTTCCATCCATTCTTTCTCTTTATTGAATGTTCTTTACATTCCCGGATGTCCTTTCAATTTAATTTCAGTCCATCGTCTCACTCACTCTCTAAATTGCTTGGTTACTTTTTCTTCTAATTCTATGGTTATTCAGGACCGACAGACAAGGGAGACGATTGGTACGGGACATGAATCACGAGGGATCTACTATCTTCTAGGTTCTACCGATAACAACACAGCTTGCACCGCTACTGTTTCACCTTTTCTTAGCCATTGTCGCCTTGAGCATCCTAACATCAATAAATTAAGACAACTTGTTCCTGGTTTGTCCAATTTAAAGGAAATAGAATGTGAGTCTTGTCAACTTGGAAAACACTCAAGAGCCTCATACCCTAGTAAAATGAATAGGAGGGCTGATAAACCTTTTTGTTTAGTTCATTCTGATGTTTGGGGACCTTGTCGTGTTTCAACTACCTTGGGGTTCCTATATTTTGTTGTTTTCATTGATGATTTCTCTCGATGCAGTTGGGTCTTCTTAATGAAAAATCGTTTTGAACTATTTGATGTGTTTAAAAAATTCTACAATGAAATTGTGAATCAATTTGGGGTATCTCTAAAGGTCTTACGAAGTGATAATGCTAAGGAGTATTTTTCTGACTCATTCACTTCGTTCTTCTCCTCACATGGGATATTGCATGAGTCTTCTTGTGCTAGGACTCCTCAACAAAATGGTGTTGCTAAACGAAAAATTCGACATCTTGTTGACACAACCCGCACCTTGCTCATTCACCACAAGGTTCCTAAGAAATTTTGGGGGGATGCTATACTTCACTCTTGCTACCTAATAAATTGAATGCCTTCTTCTGTGTTGCAAGGGAAAATTCCACTTAATCTTTTACTTCCACAGGAACCTCTCTATAAACTCCCGTTATGGATCTTTGAAAGTACTTGCTTTGTCCATGATAGCTCTCCAGGACGTGACAAACTTGATGCCAAGGCAATAAAATGTGTGTTCATTGGGTATTCCCGTCTCCAAAAAGGCTTTAAGTGTTATTGCCCTAAAACACACCGTTTCTACACCTCCTTTGATGTCACCTTTTTTGAAACTACGCCCTTTTTCTCTTCCACCTCAGTTGATGAATCTGACTTCTTGGGGGAACCACTTGAAGTCACAGAAGTTCTCCCTGTTCCTACCTTTACAGAGCCCGTGTCCCCTACTGTTCCTGAAAGAACTATACCAATGCCAACCATTCAAGAATGACACAGTTCACCTTTCTTGTACACCTATCAGCGGCGCAATCGTCAAGGTTCCCAAGAGGATGGACCTTTAGTTGATTCATGTCCCACATCAACGTTGCGCACTGACATGGTCCAAAGTACCACAACAAGCTCTCTCATTGCCAGTCGAGTAGGTAAAAGATCCACTCGGAATCCTTATCCCATTTATAATTTTCTTACACAAAAGAGATTGTCTCCATCATATTGTGCTTTCATTACTAGTTTATCTACTGTTTCTATTCCAAAAAGTGTCAAAGAAGCATTAATTCATCCTGGATGGAAGCAAGCAATGATTGATGAAATGGAAGCACTTCATTCTTCTGGGACCTGGGAGTTAGTTCCTTTATCCCTTGGAAAAACTGTGGTTGGTTGTAGATGAGTGTATAATGTGAAAGTTGGTCCAAATGGACAAGTTGATAGACTCAAGGCCCGACTTGTTGCTAAAGGGTGTATACAGATTTTTGGCATTGACTACACAGATATCTTCTCACCAGTTGCTAAGATCACATCTATTCGTCTCTTCCTCTCAATGGCAGCTAATCGTAACTGGTCCCTGTATCAGTTGGATATCAAAAATGCTTTCTTGCATGGGGACTTTAAGGAAGAAGTGTATTTGGAGCAGCCCCCTGGCTTTGTAGCTAAGACTGGAACTAACCTTGTTTGTCGTCTCAAACGGTCCCTCTATGGTTTAAAGCAATCTCCTCGTGCTTGGTTTGGGAGATTTAGTGATTTGATCCAACAATTTGGCATGAATCAAAGCAAAGCTGATCACTCTGTCTTCTATAGACACCTATTTGGAAAAAGCATATATCTGGTAGTGTATGTTGATGACATTGTTATCATAGGGGATGATATGGAGGGAATAAACGAACTTAAAAGACATTTGTTTCAGCATTTTGAGACAAAGGATCTTGGAAAGTTGAAGTATTTCCTTGGTATTGAAGTGGCCCAATCTAAACAAGGTATTTATATGTCACAACGGAAATATGCTTTGGACATCCTTGAAGAAACAGGTATGATAGATAGCAAGCCAGTTGACACACCCATGGATCCGAATGTTAAACTTCTTCCAGGTCAGGGGGAGCCTCTATCCGACCTAAGCAGTTCCGAAGATTAGTCGGCAAGCTATTATACTTGACTATCACTCGTCCAGATCTCTCATTTGCTGTAAGCGTTGTTAGTCAGTTTCTACAAGAGCCATGCCAAAGCCATTGGGATGTAGCTATCAGAATTTTAAGATATGTAAAGAGATCCCCAGGTACAGGATTACTTTATAAAGATCATGGAAATACAGAAATTGTTGGTTACACAGATGCAGATTGGGCTGGGTGTCCTTGGGATAGGAGATCGACATCAGGATATTGTGTCCTATTTGGAGGGAATTTGGTTTCTTGGAAAAGCAAGAAACAAGATGTGGTTGCACGGTCAAGCGCAGAGGCAGAATATCGAGCAATGGCATTAGGGATTTGTGAACTAATTTGGGTTAAGCAACTTCTCACAAAACTCAATTTCTTCAAGCTTGGACCTATGAAACTTGTTTGTGACAATCAGACAGCTCTACATATTGCCTCCAATCCTGTCTACCATGAAAGGACCAAACATATCGAGGTTGTCTGTCACTTTATACGCGAGAAGGTTGCATCCGGAGTCATTGTTACCACATTTGTTGGGTCAAACAATCAACTTGCTGATGTTCTCACCAAATCTCTTCGCGGACCTAGAATTGGGTATATTTGTAGCAAGCTGGGAGCATTTGATTTATACGCTCCAGCTTGAGGGGGAGTGTTGGAATATGAGCAGCCTATCTTGGAATATGAGCAGCCTATTCTGCAGGGTTATTTATTATGCTTTTATCTCTTTGGGAGTGGAATAGTTTTTCCTTGGGAAGACCCTTTATGTCCCTTCCCAATACTTGTTATCTTCCTATATAATGTCCTGTAATGTGTTGTTCTTTGTAAGGTGGAATAACAAGAAGATGTTCAGGTTCCTTTTAGTTTCCTTTTCAACAAGTAGCATCTATTACCAATTTCTGGATACTCTGCAGTAGTAAGTTCATTGCATTCATGAGGAATCATTAACTTTTAACCAAAGAAAGTAACTACATGAGCTATTTATTGTCTTCACAATAATACAGTGACAAAACCAGGCTAAGCAACACTTGCATCTTTCAATTATGTTATTGAATTAGATTATAGTGTCATCTTGACTACATATTTTCAGAGATGAGGTCCAAGGAAACAACCAAATTATACCTTCAATATAACGTTCAATAGATTTGTACAAGTAAACAATATCATTCCACCCCTACCCGGTATCTTCTTTCAAGTTATAACTTGGTCACAGAGTGAAATTATTCTAAAGTATAAAAATGAATTTATATTTTGTATATACAACTACACAAGCCTGATTTTAGTGTAAGCCCAAGCCAGGATGGTATAATTACTTAGATAAAATAAAGTGGGATGTAACTCTAAAAAATGCAAAAATTACACAATTGAAAAATCAGCACTTGTAACCTTACACATACCATTTTCTAACAGCTATATACTATGAGGCTGCCCAAGTCGTCTTAAATAGACACTTTTGTATGTCAATTCTGTGATTCATCATATTTAGGGTCCAAGATTTTGATCTGTGAAAAATAATGCAGAAAATGAAATGAGAACAGAAAAATAAAATAGTAACTAATTTTGTATTAATAATAAAAAAAAATCAGGGAAAATTAAAAATGAAAGACGCTTTAGCTTCTAACCTTAAGATTTTTGGAACTTTTCTTCCGTTGTAACCGCTTGGCAGAAGCGATAAGGGAAGAGTGACACCCCTCCAACTCAATTGACACCGGGGTGGAAGTTCTTGCAAACCGCTCTGGGATCAGTTCCAAACAATAACAGGATCTTATGACCAAGTGCTTGAGCACCGGAAACTGATCATTGCTAACTACCCACTGCTTGAGTTTTTTAGCTTCAAGGAGCAAGAATCTTAAGCTATAGATCCTCCTTTAACTACTGAATTCCATACTGTTCCATGGAAGGCATTTTCCAACTTGAGAACCCTAAGCTCACGTAACGTGGCAATTATGGTTAAATCCTTCTCAGACATATTAGTACCACTCAACTTCAACTTCTTCAATCCTGAAGGATACAGTTCTGGAAGAGTTGCAATGCAACCAGTAGAAATTGAGATGCTTAGCTTATCAAGCCCTTTCAAATTGGCAAAGTTATCCAAAATAATGGGATTGCTACAAGATCCATGAGTGGGACTGGCATCTGTGTCATCTTTCAGGAAAATTTTCAGCTTTTTTATGTTAGGGAATTTGTCATACACCTCCTTTCTGCAATGAATTGATCTCACCACACAAGATAATGATTGCAAATTCTCTTTAACCATGCTTGGAGGATCCACTATATACAAATTGCCAAGTTCGAGATGCCTCAACTGTAGTGGCTTCCAAATACTGGATGGTAAATGGACACTAGGTGCTCCACTACTGGAAACAACAAGTGTTTGTAAATTCGGATTATTTGATACTACATCTTCCAGATCCTCAAACCATTGTGTTATGGATAGATATCTCAGAAAAACTAAATTCCCTAAATTCAGTGGCACTCTTTGAAGGGATATAGAAGTATCAAAAACCAAAACTCTTAACACCTTGAGAGGAACAAACATTTCAGGATTTTCAAGAAAGAAGAAAATGGAGCGAGGGATGTTTGTACCAAAGAGCACGTAATAGTCAAAACTGTGAGAGTATATACCTAGCCAACGACATGAATTTGCAAATGCATCCAATGACAATCCTGAATGTTGTCGAGTATTTACTGCACATAAAATACCTTCTTTTTGAGCTTCCCCTACGCAGAAGCTATGCATAGCACTATGCATTCTACAAGTCTTGATTTTTCCATCAAAACTTTGATCTTCAATTAAGAGAAGGCTTCTATCAATTAGCTCTTGTAAATACATATAAGCTTCATCTTCTAACTCATTATGATTCAATGGCTTCACAAATCCCTCAGCAATCCATAACCTTATAAGCATTTTAACCAGAATTCTATTACGTTTTGGGAAGACTCCAAAATATAGAAAGCAAACTTTCAAATGATGTGGCAATGGATTATAACTGACAGTGATTGAGTTGCGATCTAGAATTCCCAATGACTCTAATTCCTTTTCAATCTTCTTCCATCCCTCTTATATGTTATTGCATTCAGATAAACGCTTGGCAACTTCAACAATTAACTGTGGTAATCCATCACATTTCTCCACAACATGGTTCCTAATTTTTTCAATTTTAGGTGCCATGTGCTTTTTAATAGGAAGAATATCACAAAAGAGATCCCAACTTTCTTTTGGATCAAGCAAAGTCATGTTATGGATATAGTCGCTACTGTAGTAGTCTTGTTTGAGGTGGCTAGTGGTTAGTAATCTACAACTTCCACCTATGTCAGTAGGAAGACACTGTATGATGTCAAACCAAGCTTGAGTGCTCAAAATATTATCCAAAACAATTAGATACCTCTTACCAAGTAAGCATTCGCATACCTGTATTTCTAGTTCATCTGTAGTGCTTCCCTTTTTAATTACACCTAGCTCTGCTGGCATAATGGACTGAAGAAGGTTGCGTAGCATTTGCCTCTTAGTGTAGTCTTGAGGTATAGTAATCCAACCTCGTACATCGAAACGCAATGCAATTGATGGATCTTCATATACCTTTTTAGCTAAGATAGTCTTCCCAATACCCGCCATTCCAACAATTGAGATTAATTTTGGTTGAGAACGGGAAGAGAGGAGTTGGTCCTTTATCACTCTACAATCATTGTGACGACCAACCATTCTGTTCCCAAGCTTTAGAAAGCTCTGTGAGGACCCACTTGCCGACTTTGAAGCATGTTTTAACCAACTATTCGATAGTTGAGTTTCATTTGTCTCATCAACTTCATTGCTTTGCTTCAACAACTCTACTGCACTTTCCGCTACTTCTCGCATGGTTTGATGGAGTTCCTGGGAAACTTTTTCTTGATACTTTGTGTCTTTGGTCCGAAGAAAATTTTTTAGTTTTATTTTGATATCATCTCCGGCTTTGAGTGCAAAGTCTTTGATTTTAGTTTCCAAATCTTTCACTGCAGCACCGCCAGTGGACTCCTTTAGCAAAAAAGCTTGCAAAGATGAAATGTTTTCAAGGAAAGATTCTCTTGCTGCTTCATCATCAAGAAAATCCTTCTCAATTGTTCCCATGAGACTACTTAAAGCAACACAAGCCATCTCTATCTCATCATCACACTCTTTTTTGCTGTTGATAATCATTAACAACTCTTCTGCTTTTTCTGCTGCTTCTTGCACAGTTTGTTTGAGTTGGGAAGCTTTTTCTTGATATTCCGTGTCGCCTTCAGACAAAAATGCATTTTTTATTTGTGTTCCAATATCATCTTGAGCCTTGAGTACAAAGTATCTGATTGCTGCACCACCACTAGGCTCCTTCTGCAGTAAGTCTTGCAAAGAAGAAAGCTTTTCAAAGAAAGATGTTGCTGCTTTATCATCAAGATGCACTCTTATGCAATGCAAACAATACAAGTTTTTCATGAAAATATCTAAAGCATCACTAGCCATCTTTCTCGCACTTTCATGTAACTCATTTTCTTTGGTTATAATCTTCAACAACTCGGTAGCTTCATGCAAAGCTTGATATGGCTCCCTGGAAGCTTTGTCTTGGGACTTTGTTTCTTTAGCTTTGAGTGCAAAATCTATGATTTTGGTTTTCAAATATTTGGTTGTAGCACCACCAGCAATAGATTCCTCCCGCAGAAAGAGTTGCAAAGAAGAAAGCTTTTCCAAGAAATCTTTGTTGATAATCTCACCAATTGTTGCCCTGAGAGAAGCTAACGCAGCACACGTCATCTCCCACTCTCTCTCATTCTGTCTCTCTTTGTTGATAATATCTTCTGCATTTTTAACTGCTTCTTGGAAGGTTTGACAGAGTTCCTGGGTAGCTTCTTCTTCATGCTCAGTGTCTTTGGCTAGAAGAAACTTGCTTAGTTGTGGAGAAATGCTTGCAAAGAAGAAAGGTTCTGAAAGAAAGATTTGATTGGTGTATGATCATGAAGTGACACCCTTTGGGTGGGTGGCAGAAACTCAAGCTCAATAGTTGCCATGAGACAAGTTAAAGCAACACAAGCCATGGTTGATGGTTCTCTCGATCTCACACTTTTTTCTGTGTTTGTTTGTAAGAGAAAATGCAATGGCCTTGTTTGGTAAAAAATTGGCCTATAGGCTAATTTTGACTTATTTGACCACTATTAATTGTTTGATTTAGTAAAATTATCAATACAACTGTTTTGTTAATTAGTTTTTTTGTAACTTTAAAAAGCTAAAATTCAAAAAGCTACTCCAAGCAACCTTTTCAATTAGCTTTTTGAGAAAAAAAATTATACCAAACAACTATCAGCTAATTTACCAAACACTTTTCTATAATCAGTTAATGTTATCATTATTTATACCCTCTAATTAACACAATCAACTAACTGCTAACAGCTATCAGATAACAGCCATTTTACCAAACAGGACCAATAGCAACTCTCACGTACAAGATTACAGTATATATATATCAGTTTAAGAAACAAAGCCGGCGGATGAAGTTCTTAGTAATTGCAGACAAATGAGACAATCCATCCCTTGAGAAACACCCACATATGCCCCACTCATAAATTCAGGTTTGTTTTTACATATATAGATCGGATTGCTAAAATTTTTAAAAATTTTGTCACTTGACATGTACAAGTGGGCAGTTTTTACTTGTAATCTCAAATTACAAAGCATTCTTTGTAGAGGATATGGAAGACTAAAAGCAATAATAATACAAACTCAATAATTTATACAATTACACAAAACATGTAACAACACAATCATTCTTGAGAAAAAGGCAAAAAACAAACGCAAGGAATCCACTGTCCTGATGATAATTCAAAAAGCAAACTCCAACATTTATGAATCACCAAAACCACACTCCGATCCTACAAATCATTGCTATCCCTGTCGAACAAGTAAAACACAAATCAAGCATGTTATGTATGGAAAGGCATATATGCACCTAATTATGTAGAAGTCAAACATTCATACATTCAATGCTCATAAACCATCATGAAACTCAACTTGGCTTGGGGCTACTTTAAACCTGGCTTATATTAGAACAATTTTGATTAATATGATTTGGGTCTGTACTGAACCTAAATAATAATAAAAAAAATAAATAAATAAAAAATAAAAACTTCAACAATAGCATTAGTAACGTCAACGTGGAGTTTGTCATAGCATGCAAGCTGATATAATCCTCCCCAGTGATATATTGTCAATACCAAACAACAGCTAAATGCCTGGCTTAGAAGCAGGAAGAAGGTTATAAATTGTTCTGTCTTGACGTGTTTTTTGAAAATTTTCCAAAGAGTGTAGCTACTTTCTCAACCTACTGAAGCACAACGAGTCACTTCATGCCACTAGACCACAAGGTCATTGGTAGTCACTTTTTTTTTTTTATCAATACAATAAGTACACAATGTATTACAACTAATTAATTAATAGATGAATATAACAATTGTTATAACCCCAATACTATTAACAATAACATATTACTCTGCACTCTGCAGAATTATTCCTGATGAGAGCCCTTGACCACACGTTGGAAATTTCATAAATAACTTTCAAGTATTATTATATTGCAAAGGGATGCATAGTTCTACTTGTTGCTCTTTTGTTATATAGGTTTTTATTTTAGTCCTTCTGTGAAAATAAAAAGTAAAATCTAGTGATGACGGATAGATGTGTTCCTAAGGTCAGGACTAGAGTTTAGACTAACTACCCACAAATTCACCACTTACAGAGTCACAAGTATTACAAATAGGCAATTAATTGCAAATACACAAGAAACGAGCAAATGTATGTAGCTACATACCATTCATTTATTCTTCTTCTTCTTCATCATCATCATCATCGTCGTCATCATCATCATCAACTCCTTCTTCGATTTGGTCCACTGTCATTAAATTAAATGACAAAAATCAATTAAGAATAAAATGGAAACAAAAAATATTTTTAAAAAAAAGTGAGAGAGAAGAGACAGACCGTGGCGAATAGCAATGGGATTGTATCCATAATCATCCTGCCGGTTTTTATTAACCAAATGGGCGGACTCCAAAACATCAGGGGAACAATTTTTTATTTCAATTGACTTCAGTGGTATGATACATTCAAAGTCAGTCGGAATCACTACCAAACTCGAACACCTTTTAAGGACTAAGCGCTCAAGGCAAGGAAATTGTTCCTCCTCATTAAGTTGCCAAGAAATGAGGTTTTTAGCTTCTAGGAATAAGGATTTTAGCTTTCTAAAACTTCTGTCAGTGCCTTCCCAATTTGATTCACTGGAGGCTTCTTTCAGTTTTAGCACCTCAAGATGAGGAAGCATGCTAATTGCACTTATTTCACTCCAAGGCAAACAAGTTCTCTTCAATTTCAGTTTCTTGATGTTGAGGCATTTTGGCAAATAATCCAGATTCTGAAGGCCTAATGACGAACCTTTCCGAAATGCAATCATTAATTTCTCAAGCTCACGCAAACGGTTAAGATTATTTAGGTTCTTAGACTTGATGCCATCTAGATTTGACTCACATCCACAAATAATCCCCAACTTTTTTACTTTAGAAATCCTTGAAAAGACTTCCTCCGTACAATGGTCTAGACTCAACCAGTGCAATGTGTGCAACCCCTCTTCGACCTCTGTCGGAGGATCCACTGAAAGGGAATAGCTAACCTCAACATGCCATAGCTGTGGAGACTCCCAAATTTCATAGGGCAAACGCGTACATTTTCAGAGGAGCTCATCTTCTATATGTGATTCATCATATTCAGGCTCCTTGATTTTGATCCATGGAAAAAAAAATAAAGTACAAAATGGAGAAAGCAAAATGAGATCAGATCAGAAAAAGAACTAGTAATAGTAATAATTGAGAATGGATCATATGCTGTAGCTTCTAACCTCAAAAATGTCGTTTTCCATTTCAACTTGCCAGTCGAATATGCCTTAGCAAAAGCAACTACAGAAGTGCTACACTGATCCAACTTAATTGACCGCAGGCTCAAATTTTCTTTTAAACACCAAGGAAACTTTTCCAAACTAACCATTGGAGACATGGGAAATCATCTATCGCCTGTCGCCTGTGCAATGCTTGAGTTTATTAGCTTTAAGAAACAAGAATCTTATTCTGTATAATTCTCCTTTAGCTACTTCCCACACTTTTTCCATGGAAAGTACTCTCCGAGTTGCTGGCAAACCTTTTCAAATTCTCCTCAATACTTACCCTGTTTACACTGAAAAGAATGCAGCAAACAAATCAAATTGCAGAGTTGTTAGCAACTACAGAGGTGTAAGTTTTGCGAGATAATTTCATACTGCAATTCTAAAGAAATACATGCAACTTCTCCTTTTTTTTTTTTTTTTTTTTTTTTTTTTTTTTTTTTTTTTTTTTTTTTTAATTTCATACCATTAGTTGTTGGCAAATTGAATGATTCACTCATTCATTTATTCTATGTGATTTTTTCCTAACAGAAATATTAATCATTTTCAATTTCGCTTCAACTAATTTCATAGAATTGGGCCAGTTTTTTCCTGTACTTTGCACCACTCTAACTGCATTGTAGTAAACCATTTACCACTACATACCATTTAAGTGGCATAAAATTTATTTGTAGTCAATTCTAATAAGACAAGTTTTCAAAATTATACTTAATTAGCTTAACAATCTGGCACAGACAGAACAAAATATGAAAATAACCAAGCAATTCTTCTTACCTCTACATCTCCAATAACTTGAGAGCACTAACAGCTTCCCAGTTTAGAAACTTCACCAATCTGAAAAAGCATATCAAAACAAAGAATGAATATAATCGCAGCAAAACAGATATGTAAAGTCATTTCATCATCTCGGTCGATCATATAGGCATCAGATTAGTCAACCTTCATGCATGCCACAACCACCAACATGATTTCTCTGAAAAACATCGACATTAGTTAACTACTCGAGCATACAAATGACCAATGCGCATCTATTGATCTCCTTTTCAATGTTCGGTGAGGATAAACTGACCATTATATTGTCCATTTGGCAGAGCTCTTGAGCCCATGTTTCAATACCATCTATTAGCATATTTTGGATACTTTGCAATAGCATCCTACTTTCACAAGGAACCCCCACAACTCTCAATCATGTGAGATTGAGGAAGTTTACCCTTCATGCCCTGCAAATGATCGAGAAACATTTGTCTGTCAAAGAATATAAAATGCCTTTTTTTGAAAAAGAAGACAGAAAACTAGTCATGTTATAATATAACAAATAGTATGTAGGAATTAATTGGCAGATATGTATCATACCATTTTTCTAATAACAGTTAGCTCACTGTGATCTCAGCCAAGTCATCTTATTCTTGTGGATATTGTGATTCCCCATATTCAGACCCGTCGATTTTGATCTATGGAAAAATATTGGAAATGAAATGATACCAGAAAAAGAAATAGTAACAGCTTTTGTAAAGAATGTAAAAGAAAATTAAAAAAAAAAATTATGAATAAAGCATGATATAGCTTCTAACCTCAAACATTCTTCTTCGTATTGGATGCAGTCCTTCTAGAATCTGCTTGGCAGAAGCGACTACAGAAGGGCTGCACTGTTTCAACTCAATTGACTGCAGCAAGAAAATATGTGCAAAACTCTGAGGGATCTCTTCCAGGCAATAACAGAATCTTAGACCTAAGTGCCGGAGACATGGGAAGGAATATTTATTAGCCTTCAACTGCTCCAGGTTTTTAGCTTCAAGAAGCAAGAATCCCAACTTACAGAATCCTCCTGATACTTCCCATACTTTTCCATGGAAGGAATTTTCTAGCTTGAGCACCTTAAGCTGGGGCAACATGCCAATTACTGTTAAATGCCTCTCAGAGAGATTAAGCCCACTCAACCTCAACTTCTCCAGTAGTAAAGGAAACATACACCGATTTTGAAGGGTTACAGTGCAGTCAATAGAAACTGAAATCGTTAACTTCTCAAGCCCTTTCAAATAGTCAAGATTATCCAAAATGATGGGATTATTGCAAGATCTACAAGTGCAGTTGAGCTCTAATTCATCTTTAAGGAAAATTTTCAGTGCTTTTAATTTCGGAAACTTGTTATACATTCCCTTTCGGCAATAGGCTGGACTCACCCAAGACAATGTTTGAAAACTCTTCTTATCAACGCTTGGAGGATCTACTGTATAGGAATTGCCAAGTTCAAGATGCCTCAACTGTGGTGACTCCCAAATTTTGGATGGCAAATGGACAGTAGATGCTCCAGCTTGTGATTCATTACCGGAAACAACAAGAGTCTGCAAATTAGAGTTACTTGACACTATATAATCCAGACCTTCAAACCATTGTGCTACAGATATGTATCTCAAAAAAATGAAATCCCCAAAATGCATTTGCATTCTTTGGAAGAATGGAGGTGGAACAGAAGTCAAAACTCTTAACAGCTTGAGAGGTACAGAAATTTCAGGATTTTCATGAAAGAAGAAAATGGAGCGAGAGTTAATTGTATCAAACAACACATAATAATCAAAACTATGTGTGTATAAACTCAACCAACGGCATGAATTTGCAAAGGCATTTAATGGAACTCCTGGCAATTGCATAATATTTACTGCACATAAAGTACCTCCTTTTTGAGCTTCTCCTACACAGAAAGTATGCATGCTACCATGCATCTTACAAGTCTTAATTTTGCGATTTGAGCTCCGGCTGCTAATTAAGACAAGACTTCTATCAACAAGCTCTTGTAAATACTCATAAGCTACACTTTCCAATTTTTCATGCTCCAACGGCTTCACAAATCCCTCAGCAACCCACAATCTAATAAGCGTTTTAACTGAGATTTCACTGCGTTTTGGAAAGACTCCAAAATATAGAAAGCAAACACTCACATATTTTGGCAATTGATTGTATTTGCAAGCAAGTACACTACGATCTAGAATTCCCAGCAACTCTATTTCTTTTTCAATCTTTTTCCATTCTTGTTGTATGTTGTTGCATTTTGACAAACGCTTTGCAACTTCAACAATTAATTGTGGTAATCCTTCACATTTCTCCAAAACCTCACTCCTAATTTTTTCAAATTTAGGTGCCATAGATTCTTTGGGAGAAAGGATATTGCAGAATAGATCCCAACTTTCATTTGGATCCAGAAAAGCCATGTTATGCTTATAAAATTTTATATAAGCATAGCTTTTCTGATCGAAGTGCGTCGTGGTTATTAATATGCGACTTCTGACTCCACGAGGTAAACATCTTTCGATAAGTCTCCAAACTGAATTGTCCCATAAGTTATCCAAAACAATTAGATAACTCCGACGTGCTAAGCGTTCATATATTTTGGATTGAAGTGGACTTAAGAATGGCCTAAAACTTGACTGAGGCTCTACTCCGGAAATTGACGACAAAAGATCCCGTAGTGTTTGATCCGCGGGCTGGTATTCTTGTGGTAAAGTAATCCAAGTTCGTACCTGGAAATTCCATGCAACTGAGGGATGATTGTAGATACTTCTGGCTAAACAAGTCTTTCCTATACCCATCATCCCAACAATTGCAATTACTATTGGTCCATCTTTGTCGAAAAGGAAGTTGTTTATCACTGTACGATCACGGTGACGCCCGACCATTATTCTGTCCTCAAAGCACTGTGACTGTGAGGATCCACTCAACTTAACATTCTCAGGCCCGACCATCTTCACCTCATCACCTTCTTCATTCAGCATCTCCAGCAACTCTGCTGCATTTTGTGCTGCTTCTTGCAAGGTTTGATGGAGCTCCTGAGAAGCTTTTTGTCGATGCCCATGCCCTCCATCTTTGGCCAGAAGATAGTTGCTGATTTGTATTTCAATGTGGTCTTCAGCTTTGAGCGCAAAGTCTCTAATTTTGATTTCCAAATCATTGATTTCAGCCCCACCACCACCACCACGCTTGAATTTCTCAAGAAAGGCCTGCAAAGAACAAAGCTTTTCATGGAGCATTTCTACTTGACCATAAAGAGACACGCTTGGCTTGCGCTTCAGCAGACAACACATCAACCCACTTTCATCTTCAGATACTCTTGACCTTGGCCTTGGGGTGGACTGCAAAAACTCAAGCTCAAGTGTTGACATGAGAGAAGTTAAAGCAACAATGGCCATCTCTCTAGGTTAACTCACTCAAGCTCAACGATTTTTCTGTGTTTGTTTGAGAAGAGAAAATGCCAGTTCCAGAGGGGTATGTTGCAAAATACATACCTCAAAGAATCTTTTTTCATACCATATGGAACATGCTTTTCTGACCCCAAACACATGCCTCAAGAATCTTTTTACATTTCTGTCAAATTTTTTAAAATCGTCTTTATGTTTTTTCTTTTTTCTGAGGAAAATCGTCTTATTATTGTGAATTCATAGAAAAATGGTCTCATTTTTGTTTTTGACCCTTCATTCATTGTAGTAAATTTTTATTGAAAAGAATGTTTTTTGTTTTTCTTTTTTTCTTTTTTTAATTATATGTTTATAGTATTTTTTTTCCTCTTAAATTATTCATGTTAATCATGTATCTACATTAATACTCCGTATTTAACTATTTTGAAAGTAATAATTTTTTTCCTTTTTCTTGTTAAATAGATATTTTTTTCCTTAAAAAATAAAGAGTAAAAGACATTTTTAGTCCTAAATTTATAGTGGCTTGGACAATTTTAGTCCTTTATAAAAAAATTTACCATTTTATGGACAGAGTTATTGTGGCGAGGACATTTTTGGTCCTCCGTCTATATTTCTGTTAGATAACCGTCTGAGAGAGGGGTAATTACGTCAATTTAGGCAATCTCCTTCTATCTATTATATCTATGTGTGTTTTGTTTTCTTCTCGGTCATAATTCGAAGGAGTTGGAGAGTCCAAGTTGCAGTTGTACGAAGAAATTGCCGGAGAATCGAAGCCGCCAAACAGGTTACTAATCAAATAGATAGAAGGAGAATCGAAGCCGCCAAACACACATTGATATAATAGATAGAAGGAGATACCCTAAATTGACGTAATTTCCCCTCTCTCATACGGTTATCTAACAGAAATATAGACGGAGGACAAAAAATGTCCTCGAAATATAGATGGAGGACCAAAAATGTCCTCGCCATAATAACTCTGTCCATAAAATGGCAATTTTTTTTATAAAAGACTAAAATTGTCCAAGCCACTATAAGTCTAGGACCAAAAATGTCTTTTACTCAAAAATAAAGGTAAAACATGAATTTCATTTATTTTTTTCTCCAACAAGTTATTGCTCATAGCTATAGCATTCCTCACATCTTTATCTAGTATTTGGAAACACCCAACAAGTTCAAACAATGTTCGAACTTGTCACTAATAACTGTTAGAACATCACTACATTTACTATAATATGAGTTATCAGCATGTGCCATGTTCGCAGCCTCTTGTTTCTTCAACTTTGAATAATCTCTTTTCATGTGCCCTATCTCCTTACACTTGTAGGGATTGTTTTTCCTTGCTATTTTTGGACTTAGACCTATAGTTTGATCTCTCTTCACATAATTATCATTCTCTTGTTTCCTTCCACGATCCTGATTCCCCTTAACATACAAATTGTCACCAAAAGAGCCCTCTCCTGCACTCTGCCTATACTGATTATGAGCCAGCAGGGCTGTAGAGATCTTCATTCTCTTTCATTATATTGAAGAGTCCTTCATTCTCTTTCATTATATTGTTTTACTTTTGGAGTTACCGTGAGTCGAAGACGGATTGGAGCCAAAAGCCTGCTCGAAAGGTTTCTTCCTTTGCGTACTAAATTTCAGTACGTAACTCGCCTTGTCTTCATTTTCAATCTTGACATCAAACTTGGCCAGATATGAGATTATCTGGCTGAAGGCATTAATATGACACACCAAGTCTAAACCCCTTGCATCTTAAGACCATAAAGGTTTTACTTTAGATACAGTTTGTTCGTTATAGATTTTTCAATGAACTGACTCTCCAACTTATCCTAAATTTCTTTTGGAGTTTCCAGGACCATTACGTGATACAAGACTTCATGGTTCCTAATAGTCATTCCTTCGAATCCCCCAATAAACCTCTACTAGATTAGTGAGCTTTTCTACCATCAAGGTTTTCAAAAGGCCCTCTTGTGCCAAAGAAATCCTTTACCCTAAAGTACCATAACTCAAAATTCCATGTATCATCAAACTTTGATACCTCAAATAAGAAACAATAATAATGGCAGAAAGTAAAAAATGCTCGATTTATGTGGTTCGACAGTGAAAATATTCTTTTATTAATTGTGATGGTCAGGGCGGTGATATAACACTGGGATATGTTGCAAAATACATACCTCAAAGAATTTTTTTTCATACGCATATGGGACATGCTTTTCTGACCCCAAACACATGCTTTTCTGATCCCAAACACTTGCCTCAAGAATCTTTTTTCATTTCTGTCAACTTTTTTAAAATCGTCTTTGTGTTTTTTTTTTCTTTTTCTTAGGAAAATCGTCTTTTTTTAAAATCGTCTTATTATTGTGAATTCATGGAAAAATATTCTCATTTCAGTTTTTGACCCTTCATTCATTGTAGTAAATTTTTATTGAAAAGAATGTTTTTTGTTTTTTTTTTTTTTTTTGAATTATATGTTTATAGTATTTTTTCCTCTTAAGCTATTCATGTATCTACATTAATCTTTAACTATTTTAAAAGTAATAATTTTTTTGAAAGCCAACCAATGAATGATTGTATTAATGAATCAAAGCTACAATGCAGTCTGGGGGATAGAATCCCAATACATAGCTTGATCCTGAACAAAAGCTAACGAAGCTAACGTGTGCGCATGCGCATTAATCTGCCTAGAAATATGATTAAACAAGACATAATTAAAAGACGAAATTAAATTCCTACATTGGTCTACTATTACTCCAACATAGGACATTATGATAGTTGATTTCTGCTGTATCGCATTCCTCAGCTGTAAACAGTCTGTTTGAAGGGTTACTGTTGTTATATTCTTCTCCAAAAGCCAGGATAGAGCTTCCTTACATGCCAACGCCTCTGCCATGAACGGTGACAAACAATTCGATAATCTTCCATTTTTCGCCACAAGAAAAGATCCCTCCGGAGACAGCAACACAATACCATATGTAGCCTCTCCCGTGTCCTCCCGGTACCCCGCATCCACATAACATCGTGGGGTAGAGCCGCTGCTACCATCCGCCGTAGCCGGCGTGAGGGATGACGTGCCACGGCGCACCACCTGCTGGTAAGAGTGCAGCGCCGCCGTGGCCTGCCTCCAAGCCGCCGTAGGGCGCGGCAGTGTGCCGTCCCATACCGCTGAATTTCTGCACCTCCATAAGTAATAAAGCAATGCCACCACCACTGCACTTTGGTCCTCTGTGAACATTGTAAGCACAATTGTTAGCCACTCGGGGAATGAGTTGACAACAATATTTGTTATTGGCAATCCTGAAATACTCCAAACATGTCTAGAATAATCACAATTGATGAATGTATGCATAACATTCTCATGCGCTAACCCATACATTTGGCATGTGGGATCCACTTCCACCCTCTTTATAATCAAGTTGTTAGTTGTTGGAAGAATATCACAAATTGCTCTCCATAAAAAAAAGTCTTCCATTTTGGGGTATTATCATTCCCCACATTTTAGTCCATTTCTCAAAATCCCCAGGCGAGTGATCATAAATACCCATAATGTTTCTGTAAGCATTTTTAACTGTGTATATCCCATTGGGGTCATCGGGCCAATACCATGAGTCCTCATATCCTGGACTGACAGGTATCCTCAGTATTCTACTCACATCCTCCTCATAAAATAGATCTGATAAAATATGTGGGTCCCAGGTAGCAGTTTGTTCATCTATTAAACCTACCACTTTAGCATGTCTGAGCTCTACAGGCATATCAGTCTGCACCAAAGGGCTAGAGGATTATCAGGTAACCATGGGTGTCCCCAGATTAGTGTTGTTTTACCATCCCCTATCCTCCTGCGCACCCGTGCCACCACCATGTCATGAGTTGCCATAATACTTCTCCATGAGTGGCTTAGGCATCCTCCTATTTTGGCATCAATAAAAGTGGTATTCGGATAGTACCTTGCCTTATAGACTTTTGCAACAAGTGTGTATGGACTTGTGAGTAGGGGCCATGCCTGTTTTCCCAACATTGCTAAATTAAAACTCTTGAGATCTTTAAATCCCATTCCTCCATATTTCTTTGGGATACTTAACTTATCCCAAGCTTTCCAGTGTATTCCTCTATCCATACCAGTGACCCACCAATACTTGTTCATTGTTCTCTGGATTGATAAACATACCGTGTCCGGAATAAAAAAGACACTCATTGAAAAGGTAGGCATAGATTGTATCACGCTTTTCAATAGAATCTCATTCCCTGCTTGTGTCATAAATTTCTTGTTCCATGAGCTTATTCTCTGTTTTATCTTATGAGAACACTGCCTTTTTGTTTCTCCCCACAAAAGATGGTAACCCCAGATATTTCCCAAAATTGGGTGCCTGGTCTACCTCCAAGCAACTTGCCACCACCCCCCTATCCTCCACACTGGTATTTCTGCTAAAACAGACACTGGACTTGTGATAGTTTACCTTTTGTCCTGAGAGCTCCTCATATCGTCCCAGGCACGGTTTAATTACTCCTGCCTCTCTATCATCTGCTTTAAAAAATAATAGGCTATCATCTGCAAAAAATAGATGTGATATCTGCGGGGCTCCCCTAGCAACTCTGCAGCCATGTATTAAGCCAGCCATTTGCGCTCTTTGCAATAACATAGATAACCCTTCAGCACATATGAGAAATAAATATGGAGACAAAGGATCCCTGTCGCAACCCCCTGGTTGGCGTTACACCCCCACTATGAACACCATTAATCAAGATGTTATAATGGACAGTAGTAACACACTGCATTAACAAATTAATCCACCGGTCCTCAAAACCCATTACCTCCAACATCCGTCTCAGAAACCGCCATTCCATCCTATCATATGCCTTGGCCATATCCAATTTCAACGCCGCCCACCCCTTCCTTCCACACTGTTTTCTATTTAAGTAATGCCCCACCTTTGCAGCTATTAAAATATTATCAGTAATAAGTCTCCCAGGAATAAAAGCACTCTGGGCCTCAGAGATGAGGTTCCCTATAAGCGGTTTCATCCTATTGGCTATTACCTTCGCCATGATTCTGTACAAAACATTACTCAGTGCTATCGGTCTCATATCAGCTACTGTCTCAGGCACCTCTTTCTTCGGAATTAAAACCACATTAGTATCATTCAATCCCTCAGGCAGCGAGCCTGAGTTTAAGCAATTCAAAATAAATTCAGACACATCTCCCCCTACAATATCCCAATATTCCTGGTAGAACCCAGGGTTCATACCATCCGGTCCTGGTGCTTTGTCAGGGAACATTGCAAATAAAGCACTCCTGACCTCCTCTAACTCAAACTGGCGAAGGAGCATAGTGTTTTGCTCACTGGTCACACGTGGGGCAAAATTATCGAACATGGGATCCTCACATTCAGTGTTTAATAATGTAAAAATAGCAGCATAATATTCCAACACAACTTTCCTCATATTATCCCCCTCCACCATGCACCCACATCATTTTTTAATCTAGGAATATAATTTTTCCTTCTACGAGCGGAAGCGTACCTGTGATAGAATTTGGTATTGCAGTCCGCACCACGCAGCCAGTGCTGGTTTGCCCACTGCCTCCAAAAAACATCCTCCTGCATCTCCCACTGTCCCAGCCTTTCCTCAATACCGCGAAACTCGGCCAACGCAGCCGAATCTCGTCTGTGACGCAGCCCATCATGCTCTTTCCTCAACTGCTTTATGCGATCACCAAACTTATGCCAATATTCCCCACCCCACCGCATTAGCCTTCCTCCACAATGCTGCTGACATATCAACAGCCTCTTATCCCTACTATCCTGCAGGCAGTCTCCACCACCCCCAACAACCGTCATCATGAACCCATGCCATCTCAAAGCGAAATCGTCTCGGTCCCCCATGTCTGTGGCCCCGCACAATATCAGTGTTCAAGAAGAGAGCAGAGTGGTCAGATTTTCGGGTTAACATATTCTCGACCCACGCCTCAGCATGCATAGTAGTCCATCGTGTAGACACCAACACCTTATCCAGCCTCTCCTCCATCCACCTATCAGTCCCCTTCCCCTTTTCCCATGTAAACTGGTGACCTCGCATTGGCAACTGGACCAGCCCACAATTGTAAACAGTGTCTCCAAAGCCTCTCAACAGACTATTCGGGTGTGGATTCCCCCCTCTCTTCTCGCGCTGGTACAACAAATCATTAAAATCTCCCAAAGCCACCCAGGGCAGTGTAGACTTATCCCTTAAACCTCTCAACAATTGCCACGCCTCCCTGCGTCTATGCCTCTATGGGAACCCATAGAAACATGTCATCCGCCATACTTTCTCCCTTATAGCTACCTCCACATCCACATAATTCTTTGAATAACTCAACAATCTAGCAGTATTATTCTTTTTCCATAATAATGCTAAGCCACCCCCTCTCCTATCCGGATCCACATAAAACAGGCCCTCAAAACCAATCTTAACTCGTAGTCTCTCTGCATGACTCCGATCTACTTTTGTCTCTATTAAGTAGACGAAATCGGGCTTCTTACGGGACACCATGTCCACCACATCACGAACTGTCTGTGGATTGCCCAAGCCACGACAGTTCCAGCTTATTGTACTCATTGAGATGGGCGGGCCTGACCACCAGGACCCGCTGTAAATCCGTTTTTTGAGAACTAAGACATCACCACATCCCCTGCATCCATCCTTATACTGCCACCATCCACTCCATCCCCCCTCCTCCTCTTAGAGGCCGCTACCACTACTCCCTCACCATCACCCGCCCTCTCTGTCCCCCCCGTACACCCCCTCCTCCCTCACCATCACCCAGACCCGTACCCCCTTCTTCCCCTCCCCTCCCATCACATTTTTCCCCTTCCCATCTAGCGGTAGCAACCATGGGTCCCCCACTTGTCTTGGCCCCCGGCTACCTCCTCCCGCCTTTAGATCCGCCGTATATGGAAATTTATCCGCAGTGAGTCCTGATTTCCTTGCCAGCTTACAAAAGCTTACAAAACCTATATGCATGCCCCAGTAAACCACAATAAACGCAAAAATTATGTAAGCGTTCGTAGCGGAAATTTACCCAGCAGCTTGCCTTATCCCGCTTAATAAGTTTCATCCTCCGTTTTAGCGGCTTATCCACCGGTATTGACACACGGACCCGGTGAAACGTCTTCCACGGTGCACCCGGATACCGATCATCTACTTTCACAAATGTACCAATAAAATTGGCCGCTTGCTCAAGGACTGCTTCCGACGTATATCCCAACGGTAAGTCATAAAGTTGCACCCACATATCCACCGATTTTAACTCAACCGATGCCGACCTTGTACCCGGTTCCACCTGTTTACAAACCAGGGTGCTATTTTCAAAAGACCACGGCCCTTCATCGAGGACCTTCCGCATATCCGTTTCATCACAAAAGATGAACATAAACAACCCCGATTGAATCTCTGTAGCATGCATACCCCACACCGGTTGCCAAACCGAGGCCATCACCTGCCGCATGTACTCCAACTTCACCACCTTTGTTGTCAAGAATCCGCCAACACACACCCACCGCTGTTCCTCCTCCTCCGCCACCACCCCAACGTCTTCCCTCACCGGCTCAAAGCCAATTTCCTCCTCCTCCTCCAGCGCTATATCGCCCCAACGCTGCGTTAGACGTTCGATAACATCATCCGCCCGTTCGAGGATCGGTAGCTCCTCGTCAACCCCATGCACCGCCGGGTCCATCGCCGCAATATCCATCTGCTCGTCAACCACTGCCTTTGCCGTAAACTGTCGCTGTCGAAACTATCCCAGCAGCAAAAACCGACCGAGATTCGACAAAGAAAAGCAAGAAAACTTCGGAAAACTCTAGGATAAACCCTAGCAAGGAGGCAAAACCCTAGAGAGAAAAAATTATTCTTAATTTCGTAAAAGTAATAATGTTTTCTCTTTTTCTTGTTAAATGGATATTTTTTCCCTTAACAAATAAAAGTAAAACATGAATTTCATCTCTTTTTTTTTTTTGAAAAAACATGAATTTCGTTTTTTTTTTCTCTAACAAATTTTTGTTTAGACATCTTTTTATAAATATTTAAATTATATTTTTAAGGTAATGCTACTAACATTAATATCAACTAGCCAAGTCCTTCCCCTCAACCGTTGACATGTTATATCAGTCGTAATTCATGAAAATACCAACTAGCCAACTACATGCACCACGCATCATTTAGCGTTCCCCCGGTGCATGCTCACGAACTGCTTCATCCCAAGTCGATCACCCCCGGTCGTCGACCTGCCATACCGATCGCGACTCATTCTAAGTCCTCACCCCACCCAACACCTGTGTTGCCCATCGCTATAGCATTCCTCACATCCTCATCTAGTATCTGGAAACAACTAACAAGTCCAAACAATGTTCGAACTTGTCACTAATAACTGCTAGAACATTACCTTTACTATAATCTGAGTTATCAACATGTTCCACGTTCGCAGCCTCCTGTTTCTTCAACTTTGGATAATCTCTTTTCATGTGCCCTATCTCCTTACACTTGTAGGGATTGTTTTTTGTTGCTATTTTTGGACTTAGACCTATAGTTTGATCTCTCTTCACATAATTATCACTCTCTTGCTTCCTTCCACGATCCTGATTCCCCTTCCCCTTAACATACAAATTGTCACCAAAAGAGCCCTCTCCTGCACTCTGCCTATACTGATTATGAGTCAGCAGGGCTGTAGAGATCTCATTGAATTTAATCGTGTTTTTTCCATATGTAAGAGTAGTCATCAGATGTTCAAAGGAAAATGCAGTGAACATAGCAAGATCATCGCCTTTTCTTCATCTTCAATCTTGACATCAAGCTTGATCAAATATGAGAAGTTAAAGCAACAATGGCCATCTCTCTAGGTTAACTCACTCAAACTCAAGTATTTTTCTGTGCTTGTTTGTTTGAGAAGAGAAAATGCCAGTTTCAGAGGGGTATTCATTCATTGTAGAAAATTCTTTTATTGAAAAGAATGGTTTTTTTTTAAAGTTATCTGTTTATAGTATTTTGTTTTTGTTTTGTTTTGTTTTTTTTTTTTTTAAATTATTCGTGTATCTACATTAATTTTAAATTATTTTGAAAGTAATAATTTTTTCTTTTTTTGTTAAATGGATATTTTTTCCTTAAAAAATAAAGGTAAAACATGAATTTCATTTATTTTTTCTCTAACTAATTATTATTTATACCTGAGCAGACATCTTTTTGTAAATATTATAATTATATTTTTAAGTTAATGCTACTAATATAAATACCAACTAGCCAATTCGTTCGCCCTCAGCCGTTGACCTGTCATACCAGTTGCGCTTATTGCAAATACCAACTAGCCAAGTACATGCACCACACACCATTTAGTATCTGGAAACATCCAATAAGTCTAAACAATGTTCGAATTTGTTACTAGTAACTGCTAGCTGCTAGCTAGAACATCACAATAACTGAGTTATCAGCATGTGCTACATTCGCAGCCTCCTGTTTCTTCAACTTTGGATAGTCTCTTTTCATGTGCCTTATCTACTTACACTTCTAGGGATTGGATTTTCTTGCTATTTTCCAAATTAGACATATAGTCTCTCTTCACAGAATTATCATTCTCTTACTTCTTACGATCCTGATTCCCCTTAGCATACAAACTCTCACCAAAAGAGCCCGGCCTCTCTTGTATTTTGCATGTGTTGATTATAGCCAGTCGGGCTGCAAAGATCTCATTGAATATAATAGTGTTTTTTTTCCATATGTAAGAGTAGTGTTATTAGATACTCCATTGTAACAGAGTCAATAGTACTAAAAAAAGTAGTGTCATCTGATGTTCAAAGGAAAGAGGTAGTGAAGATAGCGAGATCATCGCCTTGTCTTCATCTTCAATCTTGACATCAAGCTTGGCCAGATATGAGATTATCTGGCTGAAGGCATTAATATGACGCACCAAGTCTAAACCCCTTGCATATTAAGACCATAAAGTTTTTGCTTTAGATAAAGTTTGTTCATTAATAGAATTTTTCAATGAACTGAGTCTCCAATTTATTTTAAATTTCTTTTGGAGTTTCCAGGACCATTACGTGATACAAGTCTTCATGGTTCCTATTGGTCATTCCTTCAAATCCCCCAATCAACCTCTACTAGATTAGTGAGCTTTTCTACCTTCAAGGTTTTCAGAAGGCCCTCGTGTGCCAAAGAAATCCTTTACTCTAAACTGCCATAACTCAAAATTCCATGTATCATCAAACTTTGATACCTAGTTCGAATAAGAAACAATAATAATGGCAGAAAGTAAAGAATGCTCGATTTATGTGGTTCGACAGTGAAACTATCCTTTTATTAATTGTGATGGTGAGGGCGGTGATATAACACTGGGATACAATCAATATATTTATGTACATTTATTCTTATCACCTAAGATATACCCCATGCCCATCTTTGAGTAATGACTTTAAGTTTTCCTTATCACAAAAAAAAAAAAAAAAAATACAAAATATTAATTATTGCGTGAATTTTTTTGTATATATCTTCTTATTATTTCTGTTGATGTTAGCGAATATATACATACATATATAAAGAGTTCTCCAATTTTATAGAACTTTATTGAAATGTCATAATAATCCACTTCATATTGTAATGGTAAATGAGACATTCAAACAATTCCAAATTTATTTTATTATATATTACTAACAATTTCAAATTTGTAGTCTGCATTGACATCATCATCAACACAAGGGAATACATTATTCATATTTTTTTTAATACAATTATTATGCCTCAATATGGCCAACTTGTAAAATTAAAAATTCCTAATTGGAGATTCCAAAGGCTAACTACCGACAAGTAAGACAATTTGACAATTAATGTTGGTAGGCTATAATTAAAATAAATCATAATTTAACACTAATATTGAAAGCTTAAACACACGTTTACTATTTCTAGAAGAAAAAAAAAAAAAAAAAAAAAAACACTAAAGTCATCATGTTTTTAAACTAACGTTTTTACATTTGTCCTAGTGGTAATATTATTGATAGACCTTGCGCTACGTCCCCTTATAGCATCTCTAAGGGGGGGTCTCATATCTGCAAATTCTAACGCCATTTTGTCATTTTGGCAAAATTCTAATCTCCAATGTGTGTTTGCATAACGTCATATTGCCATTTCTTTTGGCGTTAGTGAACAGTGCCGCGCCATATTGCCATTTCTTTTGGCGTTAGTGAACAGTGCCGCGCCATATTTGGCGTGGCACTGTTCATTCACGCCAAATGGAGAATGGGAAAAAAATGGACTCTTTTGCCCTTCTTTCTTTTTCTAATTACAAATATATCCTTTATTTGTTTTATATGTAATTTTTTATTTTGTTAAATACTTATATTTAAAGTTTGTATAATAAAATAAAAATTATACCATTTTAAAGATCTCATTGAGACGATCGAAACAAGACTAATATTGAATATATATTAATTAAAATTTCAATTATATCAAACATAACTAGAACATAATAAAAGTTATTATTGTGGAATAAATTAAATTTTTAAAAATATTGTTAAATTCGATTTTTTAAAATAATTAATGTTATAAAAAAATTAATGTAAATAAAAATTATTATTTACATTACAAATTATATATTATATTAAACTAATTAAGTTCGAACTAAATTATATTAAACTAACTAAATTCGAACTATTAATTGAAAAATAAAATTGTTTTAGTGTAAAAGTTTGGTGTTTTGATGTTTTGGTGTAAATGGGTTGGAGATGAATAAAATTTGGTGTGAGAATATGCTGAGAATATTCCTTCTGATGTGACATTTGCTGAAAAAATTTGGTGTTCTGGAGTAAGATGGGTTGGAGATGCTCTTAGGACATGGTCGGATACGAGTCGCACAAGGCAAGAGTCACTTTCTAATTTGACCCGACTTGAATATCATACCTAACAAACCCGACTTGATGGTTGAGTGCCTTTATGACTTAAGGAGCCTCTGCTTTTACCTTCTTATATATGCTCGGTTTCGACTGCTTACTTGGATGAGATCCCGGGTGATAGTAGCACTCAAACCAACCCCAATAGCAATTGGCTAGATAGATCAGACATATCTGTGCATGTGTACACTCTTCCATAGGCTTTCGAGGTCATCGGGCACTACTATAAAATAGCATTTAACGTCGCACTTATAACGTCGATTTTTTAAAAACCGACGCTGTTAATAATTATGATTTTTTTTTTATTTGAAAAAAGATATGACGTCGAGTTTTTAAAGCAATTGACGTCGTATCATAAAAATAAATAAATAAATACTACATCGAACGTTGTATATTATATTATTTTTTATTTTTTGTAGTAATTAAGGATACGACGTCGATTTTTATAAAAAATCGACGTCGAATCATAAATATTTTAAAAAATTTAATTAATAATTCAAATAATTAATTAAAGAAATTTAAAATTTTCAAATAAATAATTATTTATTCTTCTCCCAAATAATTATTTATTCTTGAGTCACGAATGGACAACAATGCTTGTCTTATTTAAGAGTAAATACCCAAAATGGTCCCTCGACTATAGCTAAATTCACAAATTGGTCTTCAACTTTCAATTTCACCCAATTAAGTCCTTAAGTTTGCAATTTTGACACGATTTGGTCCTCCATTTAATTGACCGTTTGTTGACCGTGATCGACGATCTCCAGAAGAACCTTCAGCTCTCGTCGGAGCACGTGGAGGCCTCTAGGATGACGTTGCACCGGTTCGGAAACGCGTCGTCTTCTTCGCTCTGGTACGAATTCAACTACATTGAATCCAAAGGGAGGATGAAGAAGGTGATCGGGTTTGGTAGATTGCTTTCGATAGTGGATTCAAATGTAACAGTGCGGTCTGAAAATGCAACCGAAACCTTAAAAAACCTACGATGGACCATGAAATTACATATATATCCTCAAAAATCACAGTCAACAAACGGTCAAATAGACAGAGGACCAAATTGTGTTAAAATTACAAAGTTAAGGACTTAATTGGGTGAAATTGAAAGTTGAGGACCAAATTGTGAATTTAGCTATAGTCGAGGGACCCTTTTGGGTATTTACTCTTTATTTAATTAATGCATGTCAGCCAGCAGTTTTATTTCTTTTTGGTTGCCCAAAGATATCCCTACAGTCGATAGCCAGAAGACTAATTTCTCGTTCCTACTGTCAGCATACTAAGTGGTAGGAAACTGGCTAAATAGTTTGCGCTAGCCAGCAGCTTTATTGAGCCACGCAAGAGTGTACTGGTTTAATTAATGCTGGTCAACAGCCTTTAAAAATTAATATTTAATTAATTTATTAAGGAATAAGACGTCGGTTTGTATAGACAACCGACGTTTATCTTATTTAAAATATATATATATATATATATATATATATATATATATATATATATATATATATAATTAATTGTTTCACGTGGCTCTAGACTATTAATTAAATTTTTGGATTTCGTTCTTATTTGAGTGAAGATGCTTCAGTAGACTTCCACCAAATATTTCAGATTCCCTCCACCTAACATTTGAGACTCTCCGCACCAAACATTTTAGACTCAATTCGCCGTCCCCCACCAAACATTTCAAGCTCAGTTCACCTGTCGATTTCTTCCTCTCCTGCTTCGCCACCAATCGGAAGCTCTCCTTCTACGACACTTAGATCCGTCCATTTTTTTTCTTGTTCTTTCTTCATCCGACCACTTTTCCGACCAATTTGGATATCCGTAAAAATCCTCTTCGCTATTTCCGACAATCGGAGAAGTGGTTGGAAATAGAGACTATTTTTCTAAGACCGTCGCGAAAAAACGACCAGTAGAATAGACAGACATGTCTGAATTTGTGGGCAGAAAACTTGACGTAATCAATAAAAAAATTAAAAACACCGACGTCGTATTATAA